TATTATTGTAACCAAGAAGACAAATTAAGTCATATATATGGATTTAATTATGATATCAGGATGATCCAGATATCAAAATGTAGCTTTTAAAGACAAGAATCTGAAAATGTAATTAGGTCATTTTGACCTAATTTGATTTAATCCTCATTTCGATGTGATGGCTTACATATGTGATTAATTTTTAGGTTCAAAAGAGAAGCTTCTTTTGTTTGCAAATATTTGTAATTTATAGATGATGAAACTGAATTTTAATTTACCTTAACTGTACGAATTCTACAGCCTTGATTAGAGAAAACATCAATATGTTTAAAAAAAGCTTCCTCACTCAACTCATTTGTTTAAAGATGTATAATGTTTGTAATTAAAAGGATTACACACACACACACACACACACACCTGCACAACACTGGGTGTGTGAAACACAACATGGCTGATGTGTTTGTGCAGTGTCCTCCTGTAGACTGCTGACCTGTTTTGAGTTGGTTTCAGTGGAGGAAGTGAGACAGGATACTTCCTGAAACAATGCTGTGAAAAGGCATTTCGATGTTTGACTGACGTGCACTCCAGCATGCGGTGATGCAATGATGTTTTCCTCTGCAGACCAGCTGAACAGCACTCAAACAGCTGTAGTTTGTGGAAGGAGGGTGTTTCCTGCCGAGCTGCTGGACAGTGGAGACCTGGAGTGCTCCCTGTGCATGAGGTGAGCACACGGCTAATATGCTAACACAGTAACACAACGTGTGCAGTTTGCACAGCTAACAGCAGCACATAGTGTGGTCATAACTCTGTTAAAGGTGATGTTGAATAGTGTAATTAATGCCATGAGACTTGTTGTTCCTGCAGATTGTTCTACGAGCCTGTGGCGACTCCCTGTGGACACACATTCTGTCTGAAATGTCTGGAGCGCTGCCTGGACCACAACCCCAACTGCCCTCTGTGCAAGGAGAACCTAGCTGAGGTGCAGACAGCAGGAGTCTACTTAAACACACAACACATTCTTCAAGAGAAAAAAAAAACATTATCTGTGCATTTTAATGTGTTTATCCTGTGGCTGATGGAAATGTTTAACTGATTTGTTTGTGTTTTTGCATTCTTTAAAGTATCTCGCCTCCAGAGGCTACAGTAAGACCCTGCTGATGGAGGAAGTCCTGCAGCGTTACCTCGGGGACGAGCTGGCTGAGAGGAAAAACATCCACGAAGAGGAGATGAAGGAGCTGTCCAAGTTAGTTTCTCACACTCACATCCAGCCAAATGAAATCATGCCTGAAGCTTCATTACATCTTTTACATTTAAAAGCATCAGCACGTTGTTCTGTGGACAGTAGGGCTGGGAAATAATCCATTTTATCGATTTCAGTTAAACATGTGAAAATGGATTCACAGGACATGAGATCCATTCCTCCTCGTGGCGTCTCGTGCACATGTCTGACATGTGTTTCTATATTTTGTCACTCCTGACTTGCTGTATGTTTACATCCGTCTGACGTTCAGTGCTAATGTTAGCTTTTGATAGCAAGTTGTTTTGTTTTTTGTTTTGTTTTTTTGTAAAGATTTGCACTCCTACGCAGTAGAAAAACAAAGCGGGGTTTGACGAGCGGCCCGTTAGGAGCTTGAACCAAACTACTGTATGTAAACATTAAGAATACACAATAACTCATTTTAAGAACCAATACAGATAACCGATACCATTCTCCTTCTAATGGCTGATAACCAGTAATAACCGATAACATGCCAGGAGATAAGACGAGTCAAAAATGGGTAAGATCATAACATAAGCAAGACCAAAACCAAATGACTCTGTAAATTATATTATTTGAAATAAACTCTTAGCAAACAAACATTTCTTAAAGTATATCAAACAAAAGAATTTCTCAAATGGTCATTTTTTTTAAATAAGGCGCATTAATTATAAAAAGACCTTTAATACTGATCTAAGATTGAAACAAAAGAGAAAGTCATTTCACAAGTTCAGAACAGATAACTCACTAACACAAGTTAGATTCAAATTACATTTGTTTTATTATTATTAATACATGATTTCAAACATTTTTCTACCTGAAACAGTGATTGTGAGATAAAAGTGCAGAAATGATAACCTGTCGAGAGAGAGAGAGAGAGAGAGAGAGAGAGAGAGAGAGAGA